TCTATTATTAAGTAATAGAGCCAAAACAGAGCCGTTTCTCGCAATTGCTGGTGCTAATATGAAGCGTAAATAATTCATTACATATAAACAAGGCCTCAAAAGCTAAAACCCATGGGGGAAATCAGTTTTACATATCATTTCTGCATTTTTAAAGCTGATGGACATGAGATTACGACAGAATGACCCAACACAGATCATACTACAGTAATAGAGGGTGCTCACTTTGTTTTTTTACTGTGATTATTTAGCCGTGCATCCGGTCTAGCTAGATTCAGGCCTCTATAATGAAGAAAAATTGTACGAGAGAGATCAGTAAAGCAATAAACCAAAAAAATACACAAATAAACATCCTCAGTTTTTTCCACACAAAAGCTAATAAGCATAACCATAAAAGTCCCACAAAAAAATAAGGTTAAATGTGATTTGCCATCTAAACTGTGTTCGCCATTCGGCAAAATTAAGAAGATACAAATTTTCTTGAAAATGTTGTGGAAATACAGTTCAGTTTCAGTAAGTGGATATTTTTGGAAACGCAAGATTAGAAGTAGCTACTTTTAAGATCGTTAGAAAAGTTGCCTTTGTCTAGACTTTGTAAAGTTTGCCGTCTTTTAACACGGGTAGATCTGAAGCGGGGCTGTTTATGGCTCATATTTGCAGGGTGAATGTGAATGTATTTCGGGGAGGGATGTAGGGGGTGTAGACTTACTGTTCATCGACACAAATCTTGATAAAATACTGCAGCACCTGCTGTCTGACGAGCGGACGCAATCTACCAGCTTTTATAAAGTCGACAATAAATTCTCAGATGCAATTTTCACATATTCAGATTTTCAGGAATCGTAGATCTGGCAGACTCGCGTGTTTGCATGTTTTATTGGAACTACCACCTCGTCGCATTTAATGCACAAATAAAGTCCAAAAACACAACTACCGCTGTTGACGTTCATTTCAATATTTACTCAAAATAAACTCTCGCTAGTTGATCAAATGAATCTACTAACAGTAACATACTGTACATGTATCACAGACAATCACATCTCAAATTACATCCAATGGTGGAAATGCCATTTTAAACACATTTACCATTTTAAAGCTGTAATATGCAAAGTCCATGGCACCATAAAAAAAAAATATATATTTTTTTTTTCTTCAGACCATTACACTGTGTTTGAAGTCTGAATAGATTTAACAGCACTGCAAAGGCAGTAACACTGCAATTTTGTCATGTGAAGCCCAAATTATACTTCAGTTTTTACACATACACTACAGTAAGCGTACAGCATGTAAATTTCACTATCAGCATAGTGTGAGGGGCTTAATAAGTGCACTCAACTCTTTTAAATGAGTACAGAAACTTGTTTTTCATCGCTTATAACTTGTGGAGAGAAATAGCGCAGACACTGGACGATTAAATTTTCTAGTTTGCATTTGTCGAACGCCTGTGTTTACACAATATCAAATAGAGTATATTTTGAAAGGCTATGTGTTCAGCTGTACATGTACACTAAGCATTTGCATCAAAACGAAATGCTTTGGGCTTGATATCACATTCATTTGCAGTAAAGCCCAACAAAAAGTGTTTTCCAAACTAGTTTTTTTTTTTGTGACATTTGAAGTACTGTCACAGTTAACAAAGTTAAAGAAAAAAGATTGTCTCAATACATTTTATTAATAATTAGCATTTCCATCAGCTGTTATCGGTAACATTTTGCTATACTAAACTTTTTTTCATGGAAATGCAGTACATGAGAAACTATGAAAAGGCAAGGAACTTTTATCTGAGGATTGACGCTTTACTTTTTTCCCAAGGAGCACAAGTTTAAAAATGTAAGAACGCATTAAGAATTTTAAGGTGCACAGTTAAAAAAAAAGTGTTTTGTTTTCCCTTAATAAAGGGATACAATGAAACATTTACAAGCAAAATGATTTAATTTATTGAAATTAATTCAGAAGCTACAATATTTTACTTTCAATTAAATGCCAGAGAATGTTTATTCCGTAATCAAAATACCAATAATAACCAGGAAAAAAGATGGTAGAACCTTTAATTATAAACAAGCCCTAAATAGGCCAAACTCTTATTTTGAAATGTCTATGCTTTACTATTGCTGGCTGCTCATTTCAAAACATGTGTGAGATTAGGACAGTCTACAACACATTACAATATAAACACCAGCAACTAACCATTGTCATAATTCAACAGTAGTAGATCATAAACGCTCAGTATTTATCGATTACTGCTCTGAAACAGCGAACCTGCAGAACAGTGCCACATTTGGACTTTGAAATGTGCAGTATTAACTAGGGCTGCACGATAAATCGCATGCGATATTTAACGCGCAAATTTTAATTTAATCCAAGGTTTGCAATTCCTGTTTTTCTATCCCCAAATACACAATATCGCGTATTAAAATAATTAAGACATACATTATACCATTTAAGATATTATTTTTTTACTTTTTAAATTACTTTTTCTTTATTTTAATTTAATTTTTAATTTATTTATTTATTAACTTGACACACTGGATTGGTCATGTAGAGAGACTCTTTTCGAACAGACATATTGATTCAAGAGGGTTATGCATGTAATCTCCTTTTCAATAATTCACTGTTCTTTTATACAGCTGTAGATCAATGCATGCACTCATAAACTCTCCTCCCCTTTCACTCGCTCCTCTGTCAAATCTCTCCTTCCATCAGCCCTGCTCTATCTTTCCTTTCATCCTCTGTTCCCTCTACATCTATCCATCTCTCTATCCTAATGAAGATGAGTTAATTACACACTAACCTGCGACACACAGCCAAACTGAATAAAAAATGGTTCATTCTCTGGAAATACTCAATCCGGCAGAAAATGTCAGTATCGTAACCGATACGGAGTATTGGATCGATGCATCCCTAGTTTAGTCTGTAATTCCAAATATAAATAAAATAATAACAATGGAAATAATAATGTAATAAAATAATACTGACTGTGAATTATGCTGTATGGCACAATGATATACTGCAGTCATATTTCACTGACCTTTGATTATAACAGCTGGCACAAAACATGGTTTGAAAAATAAATTTTGTGGATTATTTACGTTATTTTTGCAAATACAATGTGATTTATTACAAACAACACCAAAAATACCAGAAAGTACTCTGTTATCCATTCACATTATGGATATTTCATCACTTCTCTGTGACGAGCACAGCACTTTATGGTTGAGCATAGGGCTAGTAAGTAACTTAGTATTTTGTTGCATCTTAAACATACTGGCTATTAAATTTTAAAAACACATATTTGCTGACCTCTAATCTGAGTATTGGATGGGATGCAGTGTCTATACCCATCCACAAAATTATAGTTCAGGATAGACTACCAAAACACAATTATATACCATACAAAAAATAAATAAATAAATAAAACAAAACTAACTAAATAAATAAAATCAACCAGCCTTTGTATTGTCAGACAAACTCTATTTTAAAGGTTCATTGAACTATTGAATGTAGAGAAAGTTGCATAAAATAGTTTTTAAACAATTTAGTTGAGCAACTTGTAGCCATTTAGTTTGAGTAAGAACAGGCTGCTGAGCTGCTCAGTTTGATCACTGATGACGCACTTGAATAATTAGCATTTCAGCAAAGAATGGGGACTCATGATAACATAAATATGTTATTCATAAATAATAAATGTCTTGGCTTTATGTAGTGTTTATGATTATATTTTGTTGTAAATGTCACCACTGGGGTGATTAGTGTTCACATGTGAGATTCACACTTTCAATACACATACTTGGTTTGGTGCTGTGTTTGATGAACACTGTAAAAGATTTAAGGAGGTCAAAACTCAATTTTGTGTTGACTTGATGCATTGATATTTTTCAGTTGGTTCAACTAAATTAACAATGTTCAGATAATTCAATTGAGTCAAATGAACATTTTCAATGCAACAAGTCAACATGCAATTTTAGGTTTTACAGTGAAAGCACAGACCAGTCTTTATTGTTAAGCAGACAACAGTTTTTACCCAAAAATTTAAACAGAATTTGGATGCCTCAAGTTTTTGAGATTACTCAACTTCTGATTTGTTATAAGCACTAATGTGAGGGTTTCTTAGCAGTGGAGATCTTGAGAAGGAATGAGCGGGAATATGTGATAAAGATTTGATTTGAGAGAATAAGCATGATAATTGATAAGGATTAAGTTCAGGTGTGTTGAGTGACCCTTAAAGGGCCAGGCCTGCGTTTAATATTCAGGGTGTGGAGCTGAGGGAGGTGAGTGTACATTCAGAGAGTCAGGACCCCGCTGTGACCTCTCTCCATTATTCATCCCGCAGAAAAAAACAGCAGAAATGGAAACTCGGTTCCACCCAGGAGGAGAAAAGCAGCCCTTTAACTCCAGTGCATGGCACTTTGACCCTGGATTAGAAAGGCTGCAGAAAACCCAGGAAATGTTGGACGTTACATTTTTAAACATTCCCTAGGGCTCATTTTAAGGGCCAACAGTGTGCCCTACATCCAGAGAGATGGAGGCAGGAAGGTAGAAGAGGGAAGACACTGTGATCTTTCCAGATGTGTTCAGAGGTAACGTGTGCCTGACATGAATCTGCGAGCCGTACGGCGAACGAACGTTCAACTGGAAACTGAACAGCTTGAGGATACAGTTCAAAACAAACACACGCTCCACTGCTGAATCCATTTTCTGAATCGCCCTACTGACTCAAAAATCATTTCCAGAACACACACGTCATCCTTACAGGGGAAAGAAATTATTTAACACCACAACTTTTAGCAAAAAAGACAAAAGCAAAAATTAAAAATAAAAACGGAAGGGGACAAACGAAAGAGCGACTGACATGAAAACCCAGGCAATCGTGTGGGAGTTATAGAGAGACCTCTGAGTCTGTCTGACAGCTCAAGCTATTCAAAGGCAATTGCTGAGCATTCATTCTGGATGCAGATATCAAAGATTGAGAAAACACTGAAGGGGGGGGAAGAAACAGAACTTACCAGATGTTCTAATCCAGCTTTGATGTTCCCTGTTTCCCTGCAACACAAGAACAAATTTGCTCCACTGTAAATAACGCAAAGACAGCAAGCATCTCGTCACCCTGAGCTCCCACTTGTTCTCCTCCTCTCACGGATCACCCATAATCACTGTATTTAATAGATTTACTGTATTTATCGATTAATGCTCTCTGGGTTCCATGAGGGCAGGAGATTTTAAAAGGGCTTTTACTCTCTTTAAAACAATTACAAGTGGAGAGAGTTAGAGAGGAAATCAGAAATGCCACCGGTTAAAGACAGCTGGTCTTCATGAGAATAATGATGCACACAGATGCTGTGTGGGTGTGTTTACATTAAATAACCATTCAGTGTCTCATTAAATCATTGATACTCATGTTCCAAAAAAAAATTATAATAAAAAAATCGCCGCCTGGATTTAAATAAGCAAATATGTATGATTTAGGATTGAAATATTAGTGCAGTGGTTAATATGCTTCTGGCTTGTTGTATGTTGGGCAACAATTATTTTAACTGTAACTGATGCAGTGTGTAGCTTTTCATTTCTCAAACAACCATGTCATATATACCCATGTACTGTGCAAAAGTCTTAGGCCACTAGTATTTTCACCAGCTAAAAAATGGTTTCAAGTCAGTTATTTCTATCTTTTGCTGTAGTGTGTCAGTGGGAAATATCAGTTTACATTTCGAAATTAGCCATTAATTGTAATAATCCAGTGAGATTTTTGTCTGACGACAGCCAGTGCTCCACACAGAGATCTGATCTGATCATCATCCAGTCTGTCTGGAGTGACATGAAGAAACAGAACAAACTGAGACAGACTAAATCCAGAAGAACTGTGGCAACGTCTCCAAGATGCTTCAAGAGACCAGCAAATCCTCAAGACTTTTAATAAGGTTAAGCTCAGGAGCCAGTTGCATAAACATAGCCACTATGTTAAGACGGAGTCTTAAGAACTAATGCAAAGAGGTAATCAGACTTACATCTTGAATTCAAATTAGACTATTTTCCCTTTTAACAACTCACTTTACAAGTTATGACCAGCCTTAAAGAATTTTTTTTTTGTGACTTTTTAAGACTAGTCCAAGCGGTTTATGTAACCAGACCCAGGACTCTGTGGTGGGCAATTCATACGTGAAAATTACGTCTCATAATCACCAAACCACTATTTCACAATTTGAGACTGATGAATTTTTGTATTATCATCTTGGAATAGGTACATGTGCACGTCTTCCAACATGGCTGTTTAAGAAATGAAAAGCTACACACTTCATCAGTTTGGGTTAAAAGAATTGCTGCAGAATATGTCAGAAACATAATAATCACTGCAATAATGATCCAATCCTAGACTCTTCAGTATTTGCTTATTTAAATCCAAATGGTGACTCTTTTTTGGCCCGGCAGTGTATTTCACAATATTACTGTTTTAACTGTATTTTTGATCAAAATAAATGCAGACCTTGCTGAGCAGAAGAGACTTGACTTTAAAAAAAAAACTAAAAAAAAAAAAATAAATCTTACAGACCACAAACAAAAATGTGATCAAAATGATTTTGACTTGCCGAGATTTACTTGTTTTAAAAATCATGACAGTATTCAGTACTGTAAACATTCAAAATACAGTAACGCTTTATTTTTTTCACAGGGAAATGTACACTGTAAAACAAATTCCGTAAAATTTACGGTAAAAAACCGGCAGCTGTGGTTGCCAGTAAAAAATACGGTAGCAACATTTTAGGTTTTACGGTTTTAACTTAAATTTACAGTTAAATACCGTAATTTAATTAACTGATATAATGCTAATATACCAACCTATTGAAGTACTGAAATCTGTTTTGTACCTTTGTAATACAATAACATACAACCCTAATGTACAAAACGGATAAGAAAAAAACTAAGAAACATAGTTATTTCAACAAAAAAACATCAAATTTGAAATGTAACGCGGGGAATTCTGGGAATGTCAATTTACGGTTATTCACTGTAAATTATACGGTATTTTTCA